TTTTAGTTTTTATTTTTATTTTTATTTTCTATTTTCTCTGCTTTTGATGTTGCTCCATGTATTTCCGACTTGGATGTAGACCATTGACTTTTTAGCCCTAGCTGGGCCTTATATTCACAGGTCAGGGGTGTAGCGTCAACCCCCATCCCAATCTGGGATCTTTATATAAAAAAAAAAAAGGCGAATAGGATATAAAAATAGTATAAAATTTAGACAAAAATCGATAAAAAAAAAAAATTTGTTTCGGTTTCTATATGTCGTTTCGATTATCGATTTTATTTATAAAATAACAAAAATACTTACATAAAAAAATATTATTTATTATATATTTTATTATATAAAAATTGTTCATAAATAATAATATAAATATTAAATAACTAGGAATAAAAATTTAAAGATATATGCTTATATTATAAATTATAGTTTATTTTATTTAATTATGTGAACCAACCAAATAACTTAATTATTTTGATTCAATTTTAATTCGGTTTGATCAAAAATTCAATCTGTTTAGCTACCCCAAAAGTTCAACTTAGCAATCTTGGTTTTGACATTTCATCATATCGATGATGAATAGCCCTGCTTGCGAATGTTCCGTGCGAAAAGTTAAATTACCTTTATGCAAAGGTATAATACTACCTCCTATTTTTTTTTAATATATGTCATTTTGAAAAGGTGTACATTAATTAAGAATATTTTTTTTATCAATAATAACCCTATTTAATGAAGATAGAGATGAATGTTTTGAGAGAAAATAAAAAGTAAATATAAAAAGGAGTAATGAATTTATTAGCTAAATGAAGGTAATAATTAAAAAATATGTAGAAAAAATCCAAAATGACATTTATTTGACAAATAGTTGATAAAGCTAGTATGACATTTAAAAAAAATATAGGAGGGAGTAAAATTTATTTTCAAAAATTAATAACTAAATTTAAAAAACATATAAAATGAATTAATATTTTATTAATAATCTAAATATGTAATAAAAGCAAGAAATAATATTAAATACAATTTCTGTTTATTTTTTTATTACTTCACTTTTTAATTTTCTAAATTTATTACATACTTAGATTTTTTATTAATTCATTACGTATTTAAATTATTAATCAAAATAATATTTCAATTATACATTTATAAGCTCTATTATTATTATTATTATTATTATTATTATTATTATTATTATTATTCTTGAAATAAATATTAGTGAACATTTTTCATACAAATATAACTTGCATGGATTAATTTTCTCATGTAAATTAAATATTAAATATAGCAACTATTTTCTTAAAAAAATGTAAAATACATAT